CTCGTCGCTCCGGCCGGGACACGGCATCACAGTATGGTAAGGGGCGTAACATTTCCGTCACACCCTTGAGGTATTCGGCCAATCACAATGCACTGGATAGCTGGCCAATCACAGCACACCTCGCTTTTCAGACCGATGAGCTTTGTAAAAATCTATGCGTTTCAGAAAGGCGGGGCATAGAGGAGAAACAATAGTACACAGTATGTGGAAAATAATGTTTTTTTTTAACCTTAAACAACATCATATGACCCCTTTAAGGGAACAGTGGAGGCAGTTTGTTTCTCCGAGGCAGCAACGGAGTTGTGCAAGTGTGTTTGTTAGTTCCCGGCATTGGTTGAGGAATTTTTTTATAAACAAACTAAATACAATTTAAGTCAATAAAGTTTTTGTTCCTGTTTTATTTATGTCGATGTCACAGCTTGCAAACGAACACTGCGCAAAAGCTTCTCGTACTCGTGACTCTTTAGCTCCGTCCACTGCACACCTCCAAGAGCTTCACAGTTTTCAGAGAGAAGCGGTACAGCTGTATCTGTCTTTTATAAATCTGATCAAACTAAAGGCTCTTTGAAGATATGAAGAAAGCAATACTACTTTATAGGTACTCAAGATTAACATGAGATTGGCCGAAACTGTGATATGTCCCCTTCAAGGCCTGTTTACACCAAGAATGATCACTATAAAGATAACAACAATGATATCTATGCTGTCATTCATCCACACCAATGGATGATAATGTTCTGTTTATTATAAGCATGTGCTGCCATTTTGTTGTCTACTGCTTTAAATGCTTGAGTTCTTTAAAATCTGGTGGATTCTGATTGGCTCAATGTTTCAATGACAATGTTTTTTTTTTGTTCATCAGCTGGAAAAAAAGTGATTCAAACGATATGGTTTCTCTGTGTCATTATCGATGTAGCTGTGGTGTGGACATCACTATTATCATACAATTAGAACAATTATTGAAACTTTATAGTTACAGTTATTTTATTTGTTGTTGTATACAGCCCTTAGTGCTTTTCCAATGATGTGTTTTGACTAGTGCTGTCAAACGATTAATTGCGATTAATCGCATCCAAAATAAGTTTTGTTTACATAATATGTGTGTATACTGTGAATATTATGTATATATAAATACAAACACATAAATGTATATATTTAAGAAAAATATGTTGTTTATATATTAAATCTATTTATATATAATATAAAATATAAGAATATAAATGTATATACATGTAAATATTTTCAAAATATATACTGTATGTGTGTGTATTTATATATAGATAATAAATATACACAGTACACATACATAATGTAAACAAAAACGTTTATTTTGGATGCGATTAATCGCAATTAATCGTTTGACAGCACTAGTTTTGACTGTTTTCTATGTGCACACAATGTGGATAAACTACAGCAGGTAAACATGTCAGCAGTGTGGACACACATCATCATGACCAAAAATGATGCTAGAGTAGCAATATATAAAATCTCTTGGGCCCGTTGTTGAAGAAATGTATTGTTAAACTCACATAGCGAGTTTAATCACCCAATTACCAAAACTGAAACAAAAATGTACACATTGAATCTGAATCTGGCAAGAGTGCATCCCTCACCTCTCCAGAGCCTCTTTGACCAGCTCGCTGGCACTGGAGTGCCTGGTGGCCAGCACGCTCTTGTAGTTGGTTCCTTGACAAATGTCACTGCCAAATATCTTGAGGATCCCTGGGATAGTCCTCTGACAGGACAGCTCTGCGGGGTCGTCCGCTGCTTGCAATTCTAGGGTCCTGCTGTCCTGACCTGGCCGTCTGTTTCGCAGAACAGGGCTTCGGTTGAACACTGTGGTCAGTCTGTTGTTGTGTTGGCGTATCTTGCTCTTGGCCGGCTGCCGGACTCCAGTGCTCTCCACAGACTGAGCCGTGCTATCAGACGTGCTGGACCTCAGAGAGACAAGGTTAAGATGACTTTAAAAGCTTGCTGCTGATGTGAGCATCTGCACTCAGTCTGCTTTAGATACAATGAGAGAATGAGTGTAATAGACTGAGTCTGACTACTCTTTTCATATACTGTCTATAGCTAAGATGCATGTGAATTTAAACCTTCTTTTTCATCCAGCATCTGTTTTATCTTTAGTTTCTTGGTTAGAAGTTGACATGAATGACAGATTCTCACTGGTAGCTACTATACAAGCTTTCATCAATTCGAACACTTTTTAAAGGCTTGACTTTTAAAAAGTGTTATATTGTTTTCGTTAAAGTATCAAGGAGAAGCTTTTTGACTCATCAGATAATTAACATATTTTAGTAAAAAAAAAAAAAAAACAATTAAACATCTTTTCAAATAATTATAATACAGAATTACTTTTGCTTTAATCTTGCATTTGTGACAAAGAAATCAAAACTGTACGATAAAAACTATAAAAAGACAATTTTACTGTATAAAATGTGTATAAATATACAATTACGAAAAAATAAATATTAAATATTACAATTATATAAAATAATTTTAGCCTATTATTTCACTGAGGCATACTTTTATGTGAGTTTTTCTTCATGTAAGATGAGCTAATATGATAATAATAGTAACAATAATAAATCAATATGTAAATAATTTAATATTACTACCAAGTTGTTACACACACACACACACACACACACACACACACATATATATATATATATAT